CTCCTCATTGCATTAATCTGCTGGGATCAGTCTTGACAGCAATTATGACAACAGCTATATGCCCCTACCCATTCGCTTGCTAATTGGAGTGGATATACTCACAATTACCAAAGCACAAGATCCTTGTGACTATGTATTGGTAAAATACACTGGGAGTTTTGGACTAAAACAAAATTTAAAAGATTTAAATATATTGACCATAGTCATACACAGAACCAAGACATATTTGAAAAACTAATGGAGTTGGGATAGGGAAGGTATTAATTGAGTTCACCAACTCTGGGTGACACCAGGAGAAGAAATAAAAATAGGATGCCAGGTGATCAATGGATCTATTCACCAGAAACAAACAAACACTGCTGTATGTCATGCAGTTTCAACTTGAGAGAAAGCAGACAGAAAATTACATAATACAGCAAATTGTACACTGGTACAATTTTACCTTAATACACCCTATTTTTCTAATTTTGTCAATAGGCTTACTGTGGTGTAGGGCTAGAATTTATATTCAAAATGGACACATGCAGAGTGTGGGAGTTGTGTATGATGGGCTCATGCTTACATGGATTTTGTTGAATTTGCACCTAACATCTACCTCACTAGATCCCTAAATTTAACTGCAGTAGCACTACACTATTATGTTACTCTTTCTAGATGGGAGTGGATTTAAAACAAAAACAACAACAACAACAAAGAGAAAGAGAGGATTTGGAGCAGTGGACCACTGTATTCTATCCATCTTTAAGGGAAATTAAAGAGGACATAATTTTAATAGGAAGCTGTATTGAAAATCATACTGAATGTACAACAGCTTCATCCATTACTGTAAAATATGCTGGAAGTAGAGATGGACATGTTCCTGATCATACAAACATCTGTCCTTTTGGACATGAATGTTGGTATAAATTTACCATACCTCATTAGATAGTAATGTGCCTTTGGGTAGACCCCAAGTCCTGCTCCAGCTTAGGTCTCCAGTATCAAGCAACCACCACCCCCAGCTTGGCCTCCTATTAAATTGTCTCCTCACATTTATGACACTGGCCCTTACATAATTAAAAATACAGGAAAACAGCAAGTTTTCTTTAATCCTCATTGGCTCTTAAAAAGGGTAGAGCTAACACAGCACATCAATGTGTCAATAATTAGAACAGAGTGTTCTGCCTTTTTGGGAGTAGCCTACTCCTACTGGTTGGCATGGTTACATGGATGATCCTTAGAGATCACTGGAATAGTAGAAACAGGGCTAGGAGCACCTGGAACAGGACTGGGAGTATTGAATAGCATAGGTTCCTAATTCCTAAAATTCCTAATGAACAAACTAAGTGTTACTGCTGTTGACGTAAACAAGTCAGAATACTCACTAAAATAATCTTTGTTATCCCTAAGAGCAAGACAATGGCTCTTATCTGACATTCTGTATCATTGGGAATGAACTGAAGAAAATGACCATCAATTAATTGTAAATGTCCTTGGAGCAACCCAAGGTATAGAATCATAGAATGGCTAATACCTCTTGCCTTGAGATGTATGCAAGTGCAGTTATGGATACAGTCCATAGTAGCAGCCATTATTAAAGAAAGTAAAGGAGGAACCCTACCCACTGAAATGTGTGAAGTTATTTGGGAGAATGCATTAGAGTTTGAAAGAGTTTCAGTTGTGGTGGCAACTAGTCAATTTTATTTATTATTTAGAAGGTGATAAGATTATTACCTTTGTCCTCACTATATGTAATGCACCAGTCAGTACATATTATATACCCAAGCATTGCCTTAGAACTAAATCATAATGATACCACACTATATCCCTTAGAGCATAGTCTGTAGGCTCATCAAAAGGATGAAGAGTGGCAGACAATTGATACAAATGCGTGCATTGTGCAGGAACAAAAAGGTTTCATCTGCAAAAGTAATGCTCTCAAAATTCAAGACATCTGTTTGGGCACAGAGCAAGTTTTCTGTCATTTCAAAATACACAAGCAACAAAGCTCCTAGAACTATGGTCATGTATATCAGGAAAGGATGTGTATGCATGGGAACATTGTGTGATTATTTGCTAATAGATGATATTGTTCGTAGTATAACCAATCACTCTAATCTATGCATGTGTAACTTTTCCATGACCATTGGTTATGATTTTAATTTCTCTGTATCCATAATTATTCATGAAGATTTGTCTTTTGACTACATGTTATATATTGAGCTGCAACTGACACCTATTGGTATGTACCTGCCTTGAATCAACCGACTTCTCCATCATCCTGATTTGATGAACCTACAACAACAAGCACAGATATCATGACAGAAGACTCTTCTCACTGTCCATCATGACAGTCAAGGAGTACATCAAGCACAGCACAGAGTCAAAAAGGATGGAGAGTACTGATGGTGAGAAGTCCTGTTTGGTGGTCTCTTATGGCACCCAAAGTGCTGAAGCTGATGCTATACCCCCTTGTGATTTTATTAGTTCTTACTGTATTGTGCTTACTGTTAACCATTGCCTTATATGTTTGGGGGATGACTAGATAAGCTGTGCTGCTGAAGATAAAGTGAATTGATTGTAGTCACAGGGTAGAGTATGGCAAGCACATTTTTTACATGTCCTGCTCATATTTTACTATTTTACGTGTCCTGCTCAGGCTTATGAACCACAGTAGGGCTTGATGTATCTGTTCCGTGAACTGGATAGCTCATCAGCAATAGAGTGTCAGGTGGATGCTCACAGTCATGACCATGAACAAAGCACAGAACTGCCCTAAAGAAGATACCCATTGAAATCCTTTATAGAGAAATGAGGGATAACATAGGAGGTCAAGAACAACATGATAAGGAATCTGAGTTTGACTACAAGCCAATCACTTCATGTTATACATACAGCAGCTGGAGAAAGCCTATCTGAGCTCTCCAGGGGTTGTATCAGGCTATGGCCCTTAATCTTCTCCTGAGCTGAAATGCATCTCAGGGCTGACTCCTTGAGTGTAAAAGCTCATATGTAGGCAAATACCAACAAGGGAGAAGGTAATTCACCAAAAGGGGGAAAAACCTAGTACAAGAGTGACTGAGTTTAGAATGCACCTCAAACACCATGCTGTAAGTGTACTTGTGAGAATCTTGTAATTCTCGTATCTTTAACTAAGATCCTGTTTCTATTGTAGCAAATTCTGTTGAATCATTGTGTTTAATTGGCTGATGATTAAGTGCTGATTAAGTGCTGTTAAGAATCATACAGTCTAATCTTGTGATTTACAGTGACAGTATTAATAAACCTTAAAATGTTGCTAAGTCAAAGTGTGTAAAAATCTATCCGTGACACTGCCCTGTGCTCAGGAAATCATGGTTTGAAACACAGCAGAGCAGCATGAGAGTTCAGGTTAGTACCTTCACATCAGTATAGTGAGGTTGACCTCTAGAAAATGTACTTCTCCAGCAAATAGACAGTGAAGCCTTGTGCTGTTTGAGGAATACTGCTCTCTGGGTAGTAATCAGGATTTTTATGTGATATTCAATTAGTCTAAGGAAAAATATTTGTGAACTGTACTTACTGATTTAAGTACCAGCTCTACTATCATTCTCAGTGTGGCAGCACATAAAGGACACAAGTGACAGGGCAGGGCTTATTGGATGTTAATTCCAGCATTAGGTGCTGAATTGCTGAAATCTGTTTTATCTGTTTTATCTGTTTTATCTGTTTGTGGTTTTTTTGTTTGTTTGTTTGGTTGGTTGGTTGTTTTTTTTTTTGTTTGTTTTTTAATCTGTTGTTAGCTGATAAATACAGACCAGTTTTGAAATTCACAGTAACAATTTCTTGAATGAAAAAAGGCAGAAATAATGATTAGCAGCATAGATATTGCAAGAGCAAAGTAATTCGGATGCTCCTTGCTTGCTTATATTTCTCGTACTGGTGAATAAAGACAAATACAGCTAATAATAGACTAGATCACTAAGTTTTATATAAAAATTTCCTTAGGGCATGATATTGAGTGTTATTTGCTGCCCATATCCGAGGGATTCCTCATCCTGAATATTTTCTTACTGCAGTTCATAGCTATACTCTCAGATGTATCACAAGCCCTACTAAGCTTATTCTTTTCTGCTGTTTGCTTGGTTGGTTGTTGCTGACTGGACCTCAGTCTCTCCCCCACCCCCTTCCTTTTTACACAATAGAATTGAGGAAAATGGCAGCGGCTGTGCTTTGATGAGCATCCAAGTTGGAGTTGTCAGCATGGACAAAATGCCCTGCTCATTTGCTAATGCAGGACTCTGCAGCTGTTTCTTTCAGGTGGCCTGATTGTGGCCACACTATCACTCCTACAGTTCACTGCTCCTGACAGTCTGGAAAGATATCTAAATCGTAAAAGTGGTGGCATAGCTTTTTTTGAGGAATTATTTCTAGATGATTGTCGTGTTAACCAAGGAAAACCTTAAATTTACCCTTCTTGCCCTAGGGGAACTCTCCTGTCCCTGCACACAGACCTCTCAGAAGACCTTTGCAGCCTGTCTCTGCTGTAGCTTCTGTAGCTGAGCTGGTGAGGCACAACGTAACATTTGGTACATAAAACATTTTTGATACAGCCCTGTAAGTAATTCATCTGCTCAGCCAGTGGCTAGTTTTGCTTAGGACAACACATAAAGATTAGGAGCCATGTGAATTTTCTAGCTACTTGAAAAATCAGAATGCAAACAGGAAAACAATAAAGAGCAAGTTCTCTCTTTTCTTTGTGGGCCGTAAACACTGCCTATTTTGTCTAAAACAACACCCTGACATTCTGTCTTGAAGCAAAACAGTCCAAACAGATTTACTCTGTGCCAAGTTTCTGGCCAGTCAAAAATGCAGAGAGTGATTTAAGAGCTATTTAATACCACTTAGAAGGAGTTCTGAAGGCTCTGTCACCAGGGCTAGTGGGGTAAAGCTGAGCCAAATGCTCTATGGGGCACGATACCCTGGAGAACAATGGACTTCCTTAGCAGAAATGAAGCGAAAATTCATTAAAAGCAGCCTACCGTTCTCTGCCAAGAGCTGCATTTCCTGCACGGTGGTGTTCCTGCACAGTGCAGATTGCTGCGGGGCGAGGTGAGCCATGGTGCCAGGTGGGAGCGGTGACAGCCAGAAGCAGCTGGTGGCTGTCAACCATGGGGTCTTTCCACCTCCCTGTGAGGAGCGGGTCCGCCTCTGCTCCTTCTCAGCATGCTTGTGAATATTTCAGCCTGCAAGGGGAAAAATAAAGCTTGTTGTATTAACTGTGACATGCAGGCAGCTTTCTCCCTGCCTTTGAAATAAGAGGCCAGTTTGGCCACGTGCCCACATTTTAAGCCCCAGATTTTATTTTTCTTTCATGGTTTTCCTTCCTTTTGTGACTAACCCATTTCCACGTACAAACATGTGTGTTGTTCCATGCTTTTATTTAAACTTAAATTGTTGCTGCCGGGGGGGTGGGGGGTGGGGACAGATGGACAGATGGATGGATGGTTGGACTTTTTTTTTGTTGGCATTGAGCCATTGAGGCATTAACAGTGGTACGGAAAACTGAGTACACTACCTTGGAAGTCTAAAGCCTTTTTGTTTTTCATTCATGTTTTGTAGAACCACAATTCTTTGAGACAGCCATGTTAAAGAAAGTTCGAAAGAAAACAAGATATGATTTTATGGAAGCCTTTTTTTTTTTTTTTCATGAGAAGTATTTATTCATATTTGCCTGATGATCAATGAAGTTTTAAGACCTTGCCCACATGGACATACCTCTTTGAAACTTGGGGTAAATCCATAAACTTTATGCCATCTCAACCCAAGGCTGCAAGCTAAACTGAACTATTCTACATCCTCAAGAGTCTCTCTGAGTTCCTGTATGATGTTTGACAGTTGTGTAAATGGCAACTTCCCAAGAAAGCAAATTTCTTCCTTGCAATTTTTACATAAAATATAAGTAGCTCTGTAAGCAGTTGGATATTTAAATGCAAAATTGCCAGAGCTCAAACTAGAGACCACTGTTCTGAGGCCATCAATGCATATGAAGAAACAACAACAAAAACTGAAATTCATAATTTTTCTCTTAACTATTACCACTTCTTCAGTATAAAGATTAATTGAATGGGTAAACTGTATTCTGAGCTGTGTTTAAGTTTGTTTAGGCTTTAGAAAGTCATTAACCTTTTCATTTAGAAAAGTTTAAATTGACATATTTTCAAATATACTCTTCCCACAATCACAATAGTATTAAAGCCTTTGGGATCTGTGCTTCTAAATGTGCACCAGCACTTTTACCTTGCAGACCCTCTTACATTTTCCAATGACAGGGCTATTGTAAACAAACAAACAAACAAACAAAAAACAACAACAAAACTTGGTAGCATCCTATTAATTTCATGCACAAAATGAACCATCTACACTCTTTGCAGATGTTCCTTTTGGGATCTTACAATCCAATGTCCTAGTTTCACTAGTATTACTTCTCAGCTAAAAAGAATATATTCTGCAGAATTTGAGCTGGCATGTGTACCTAAATAACCAAGACGTGCCACAAATTACATGTTAATCAAATGAAAGGGAACAAAGGAAACATTGGATGACTCTGTAAGTGTTGTATTTAATTTGGATAAATGCAGTTTTCATTAAACAATGAAGGTAAAAATCCTTGTGTATTTTTTAAGATTTACTGTTTAAATAGAGCAATTGTTTCCTCATAGAAGTTCACTGAACTAAGTTTATGATTGATGTTTCTTGCATACCTTTACTCACAAAAACTACATATAAAAAATGTTTTAAAATTGTTTTGAGAATTTTGAGTCTAATTATAAAACTTCTTGAGTCTAATTATAAAACTTTAAGTATACAATTTAACTTTTCCTTTAGAAAAACAAACAAAAACAAAACAAACAAACAACAAAAAAACCCTGTGTCTATTGTGTCTATATGTGAGTATGTATTTTTTTGGTTTTTATTTTTCCCCTCAGAATTCTGAATTCAAAATTCTCAAGACAAGGTGCTTTATATAAACTGGTTGATATTTATTGCCAAAGATTCAATTTGTATAGAAAAAGGTCTACTATCAGCAATGATCTACTTTTTGCACAATGTATTCCGTACTTCAGGAAATCAGTAAATAGAATACAATATTTTCAAAACTGCAATGGAATTTTCAGGAAGTACTTCAGAAGAAAAATAGCTTATTTGAAAATGCCCTCTAGTAAATTATATAAAACAAAACCTTGTAATAATAAGTTTGTTCTAAAGATGATGTCACATGGAGTTTTGAATTATAAGGAAACACTGCCAGAAACCATCAGACTGCAACCACGGTATTGCTTCACAAGGTGGCACAATTACTCTTTGTATTGTGCATGTGTATTTTTCTTCAGCCACCAATGAAGCGGTTAACGCCTAATCAGTCACCCAACATAGCTGTAATACAGCCTACTTATATTAAAACGCAGAAAGCATCGGTAAGATAGATACTGAACTTACTCATCAGGCCCAGTCCAAAGCGCGTCGCAATCAACAAGCTTTCTGGTGTCTTTAATGGAACTTCAAGTTTCACCACATAATCTTAATTATTGCTTTCAACATTATTTTTGTGTAGTTTTCATAGAGTTCACTAACCTTTTTTTTTTTTTTTTTTTTTTTTTTTTTTTTTTTCCCATATTATTATGCAGAAGATTATTATGCATACTTTCTGGTGTGGTTCCTTACTCCCTGAATACAATTGGACTGATTTACACAGCTGACTTGTCTGCTGGACTTAATGATTTTACACAAGTTGAATAACTTTATTCTTTTTCTGCCCATCACTGTGAAAGCTGGACTTGAAAGAACAAAATATACTGGGAGGAAGGGAAGGGTTTGTTTTGGTGAGATCTGTTGTAGTCACAAGCAATACATTGTCTCTCAACATTTCAGATTTGAAGAATCTTCTCAGTTACACAGAACTCAATAATAGCTATTGCAGTAAAAGATGAATAACACACACATCCAGAATGAAGCATTCTGGGTAACTATAAGTTATCCCGTACACAATGGGACCATAATATGAGCATCTAGCAGGGTTAAAGGAATTAATAGAGTAATTTTTTTGTTCAGATGTTAACTGATTAGTTTTTTGTTTGAAAATGTCACATGGTTTGGTGACACAAATTCTTGGAGGAGGTTATCTACATCTGTTTATATATAAACTTGTCACTCTTGTTGTATCTAATTTGTAGAGTAAGTAGAAGATAATTATTCAGTTCTTCTGGGAGCAATAGCTCCTCACCTTTGTACATACCCTACTGCTTCCTTTCTAGAGTTTTTGTGAGTTTGTTTGTTTTGTTGTTTTTAGTTTACATTTTAATTTCCTCTGCCATTTTTTTCCCCTTTTCTTTTATTTAAAAATGACTTGAACAACCTTCAGAGTTTTTTTGTCACCTACATCTCAGGTAGTGTCCCCCATTTTGACAAAACAAAACAAAACAATACAATACAAAAAACAAACAAACAAACAAACAAACAAACAAACAAAAAAAACACAACAGCAACAACAGATTATATGCTACGCATCTCCTTCATGTAGATTGCTTCAGCCTTCCAGTTGTACAGTAAGGTGTCAATGTACAGAAAGTATGACTTCTAAAAGACATGAATCCATGAATCTTGTATATTAACTTTTTTCTTTTTTTACTTTTTTTTTCCCTAAGACTTCACATGTCCAAGCTGATCAAATGGTGTTGCTACTACAACAATTGTTAGAAGGTATTACAGTAAAATAGCTTTTGAACTATTTTTTCTCATGAGCAGTTTTTGAAGTTTTTAAGAGAACTACACAGATTTTTTTCTTACTGTAAATATTGTAGGTAAGTTACACTAAGCAAGGAAGACTTTTACTTTCAATCTTAATCTTTCTACTTCCAATCAGTTCTCAGAGTACATTGAGAACAATATGTTTCTGCTAAAGTCTTTAAAAGAGATTTTTTTCCCTTGTGGTGTTTATGACCGTACTTACCTCTTTTCCAGACTGGTGCACAAAACTATCCTAAGTGCATGTGGAGATGCAGCACACTGCTGACTTTCTTTTGAATGGAAGAGTCTATCCTGCCTAACCCTTACATCTACTACTAGAATAGTAGGCCATAAAGTGTGATAGAAGTGTTAACACAGGAAAAATCTCTGCATTCTCTGGTATTGAAAATGTGCAAAAAGCCAAAAGAAACAGACTTCTCCAGCCAGTAGTTCCACTGAGATGAACAGGTCTTCAGCTCCCCTGAAACATTCTCTGGATTCCCCTGCTTGAGATGTTTTTGAGAATGTTGCCCAAAGCCACTCAGTTAAATCCAAAGCACAAATCTTGGGATGACAACTGCAGAACAAGCTCCAAACCTGAAAACTCCAGGTTTTCAAGGATTTGGGAAAAAACTCTTCCACAGTCTCTATCACTGCACACTTATAGTTGCTCTAAAGAGCACACCTGCTTCCAGGTGACGGAATCCTGTTGGCAGATGAGTTGTCTATGAGGGCTGGAGCACCTCTCCTGTGAAGAGAGCCTGGGAGAGCTGGGGTTACTTACCATGTAAAACAGAAGGCTCTGGGGAGATTTTATAGCAGTAAGGTCCCTTGCAGTACTTAAAGGGGACCTGCAAGAAAGATCGGAGGGACTCTTTAGTGGGGTTTGTAGTGATAAGAAAGAGGGTAACTGTTTTAAACTAACAGAGTAGATTTAAATTAGATGTTAGAAAAAAATTATTATTTATTTTGAATTTGGTAAAACACTGGAACAGATTGCCCAGAGCAGTTGCCGCATCCCTGAAGTATTCAAGGCCAGGTTGGATGGGTCTTTTGACATCCTGGTCTAGTAGGAGGTGTCTCTGCCTATGGCGGGGAGGGGGAAGGGTGGGAGAATTAGATGATACCTAAGGGTCCCTTCCAAACGTAGACATTCTGTGATTCTATGATGATTCTGTGATTCTATACTTTCTCATTCTGTGGCTTCAAGGGGGAGGATGGTTTGACGGTGGATACTGTGCTCTTCAGCCACTTATCTGATCTGGAGTCAGGATCAAAGCCTATGATGTGATGTGTTACAAAATATACCTGTATTGTAGGCTAGACATCAACATCAGCTTAATGGCACACAAAAGTGTAATGCTGGGAAAGACACATCTTTCCTATCTTCATTGAGTATTTCCTATGGAGGTCAGCCCTTTGGGGGAGAATTGACACACAGCCTCCCAAACCCCTTAAAATCATTTGAGACTATGTCTTCCATACAGACCTATAGGTATTGTGGCAACAGGGGAGGAAGACAGTAAATACTGCTGTCCACTATATAGGACCATTTAGTGAATCCCAGTTACAGGTGTATGGATGCTTCCTGTTCGTGAAAGAGCTGTCTGGTCTCATTTATCTGTGTTTCAGGACAGAGC